AAAAATAATTTTAAAAAAATAAAAAAAATATTATTATTATATATTTTAATACAAAAGGTTATATAATATAAACACTGTAAAACATGATGAGATAAATACATTGTAACTTTATAACTTATAAACAACAATAGGTTATCAAGAATTTCTATTTTGTTTCTTATAAACTTCAACAACTATAAGGTACCTTCCTCGTACCAAGAATGATGTGCTTTTATAAGATTTATGAAATTGCTTTGAGCTTGTGCTTGATCAAGACAAGTATCATCTCCATCAAATACAATTCATGTGGCCAAGAATTAAAATTGCTGCGACTTTTGAAAGTTGTTATAGCATGTTCTTACGAAGTTTCCGATATCTGACAAAACATTAAAATTAGGAATCGGTTCTACTCATGCACAGGCAAAGGCGCCCACCAAAAAAGTATGACACAATTACAACAACTAAAACCTCAAACCCTTTGAAACAGATCATTATAAACATGGAAGAAAGTACGGTGGGTGGGAGTAATGGCCAACCAATACAACAGAAACACATCATTCTTTTTTCTTTTTTTGTTTCGTATAATCAATCTTCTTTTCATTTTACAATCTAGTATGCCTCTTAGACTGTTGGGCATCTGATGTCAAGTTGTCACCACTGCCACTAGCCATCCGCTTTGATTCCCCTATTCCAGCTGCTACAGCAAGAACATCAGGTGATATATCCCAGCTGCCACTTTTTCTACCCAAACTTGATCGTCTGGAATGCATGACGCTGCGCCCTTCCATTCCCTGTGGGGGGAGGATCCTGCTTAAATCTGGAGAGACATCAGTCAATCTACTATCCTCATGCAGACTGTCATCATTTCTTGCTGTGCCATTATAATCATCATCTCCTGAAGCCTCATCCCACACTGGCTTCCTCCCCATTTCTATGTCGTCACCGGCAGATTTTTCCACATTACACACTGGCTTCCTCCCCATTTCTATGTCACCGGCAGATTTTTCCACACTTGAACTGACAAAACTAGTAGCTACCATTCTAGGTGGAATGGCAGGTTCCTTTGGTACTTTTGCCCTGAAACTGTTCTTAGATGGAGGGATGCTAGAGCAAAATATCTCCTTGAAGTTCTCAATCAACCCTCTGTCAAATGGGTTAGCTAGCCCATCATACCGGTATCTAAAATTCTCATAGGTAGACTGCCAAAACACAAAAAGCAAGAAGTTTGGGAAAACGAGCATATCACATAAAACATAAAGAATGGCATGGTTTTCCAGGGAAAATTAAATATCTGCAATAGAAGCAAAATGCAGCGAGTTGCAAAGGAAGGGATGTGAGAGGAAACAATTTTAGGTGAGATGAGTTTTTGCATGAGGATATTGACCTAAAAGTGTGACTTGTTATTGATTTCCATTCACCATGACTGGAAGAGTTTCTTACTTGATTTTTACTGATGAGATACGAATGGAACAAGGTAAGACCACCAACAAACCAAACTGAAATAAAGGTGTAAATCACTAGAGCGACAGAGGCAGGAGTCTTGGACATTGCTTTCCAAATTGACGTCTCCTCGCTATTCATGATCCTCTTAATGTAGACCCAGCAAAATGCGTGTACATATAAGCAAATAATTGTTGAAGTAAAGACAAACATGAAGAAGAACCGGTAGTTCCGCTGCACCCAAAAACAGAAGGATAAATCCCAGTTCAGAAAAAGATCACTTCGAACATACAAATTCATGTGATGCCAAAGGTCAGCGTTATTTTGCCAGTGCAAGTACTAGCTTGAAAGCAAACTGAAAGATAGTTAGGTCAACTACAAAAATTCTCTACATTAAGACAGATTCAAGAATATCATCATCAAACTAACACAAATTTGACAAATTCTGGCACAACCTAAAAGTAAAACTGGAAAGAATTTCTTGTGATCTTGATTTTTTATCAATTCACAGTCTGAAGCTATATAGCAGGAAGGCTATCTTCTTATTTTTGTACCAACACCGGCTAACCCGTAAATTATTGGTGTCATTCCACCATGGAACAATGATGCCAAATACTTTCCCTCGTTAAACTTGTGTTTCAGTAATAACATAGTGTGTATATTTCTCTTTCTTTTGGATGGGGAACAACAACTCCCAATATGGTTGATAAGGACAACTCAGAGAATCATAAACACCACACTCAATGCACGACAGAAACTTTTAGAGAATCATAAACACCACACTCAATGCATGACAGAAACTTGTGTTCTCAGAGTTCTGAAGATGCCACTAGTTAAGTTTTAAGAGCAAAGAAATGCCAGATGGAAGAATGATCATTTACCAATCCAATGCACTGACCAACCCAAGGGCAATGATGGTCAAATCTTTCCACACAGTTGTTGCATATGGAACAGTGAGAACACCGTGGGGGCCTATAAAGCATGCAGGTATCACAGTACTTGGTCTTCACAGTTATCCCATTGATGACAACATCCTTTGTGCGTGGCAAACGGAGAGGTGGGGTTTGCCCAGGAGTAAGTGGAGTGTTCCCTTCATAACCTTCCAGCTCTGGAGGATGAGCATTACGAGGTATTATACCAGGATCTCTTCCTGATGTTAGCAGAAGAAAGGTTAAATCCTGCGAGAACAAACACATCCATCAGTTAACAGCACAGGACTATCTACAAACTTCTTTTTGCCAACCTAGCCTCTATATTTATTATTTCAAGCAACTCCAACAAAGTTTTGATGATCAAATACAAAAATGTGTGCAAACAATCCCTAAACTAGTTGGGGTTGATTGTACAGATCTTCTTCTATATTTTGGGCTATTTAGGATCAACTTTTCAGTAATATATTGTGATAAAAAAAATACTTCTTTACCACTTCAAACCCAAAATATTTTGATTTGGCTTTTTTTTTTTTGTGTGTGTGTGTGTCCTGCTATTCAAATTGAATCACTGCTTTGCATTGGTGCATCCGTAGGTTAATGCTGTAATCACAACATCTAATTTTTTTGTGTGTGTGTGTGTGTGTGTGTCCTTCTGCTATTCAAATTGAATCACTGTTTGGCATTGGTGCATCCTTAGGTTAATGCTGTAACCACACCATCTAATAGATCCTCCCTCAACTTATCCTCAGTAGATACTGCATCAAATTTCCTATGATATACTTGTTTCATATTTAGTCTTTTTTATGTATATTTCCACATATGCATCTTAATTTATATTATCACATATGCACATTTCTGGAAACGCTGCTTATTCGCTCCATGTATTCTTTTCTGGTTTGAATTGAGAGAATTATCTAACTTCAATGTCAAGAATCCAGATAAGAACACACAACAAACACCCCATATCCCTGATCCCCGCCAACCAAAGCAAGGAAACCCCAAAGAGGACACATTGTTGACAATTTTAACATGCAGCTAGAGATCTCTTGCAACAGGATCAAAATGGATGTTCCTGGATAAAGTACTCCTATTGTGTAAGGATAATCAAATAGGGTCTCAATATAATTCACATCCATGTCAGCACATGAAAATTTTCTAACTTACATAAATTCATTTCTTTACTGGTGAGTGGAGATATGCTACTGTAACAGAAGCAACAAACTAAAGCCAGTGGTTATATGCTGTCACTGGTATATGCATGCACCACCTTACAACCTTTATTCATGTACTGACTTGATTGTTCTACAATATTCCGTATACTAGGGCTTCGAAACAGTCTAGTTAATCATCTAACTTGCTTTTAAAGATGAAAACTAAAATGAAGATTCTGTGATTGGCATAACATGGCAACTGCTATCTATTTAAGCTTTGAACTAACTCATCATAACAATTAGCTGAGTTCATTGTTAAGCGTGGAACTTCAGCAAACAGGAGCATAAAAATTTAAAACAACAGAACTTAAGAAAGGAAAACAACTCACTAGTAATGTCAGAACAACGACTAAGACTACTATTGATATTCCCAGGTGATGAGAAAAATCATCTATCAGCTTTCTTGCTACAAAGACACAGAAAACAACAGCTGGAACCACAATAAGAAAGATGGTTAACAGAATAGATCTTGCATCCGGTCCAAATATAAGCCTCCCCTGAAGCAAAAATGTCTGCCAACAAAACAACCAACTGTGGCGTTATGCAATTATCAACCCATTACCAACATGAACAAAGAAAAGAAAAAAACACTAGCGAAGCGTAATACTAATAATAATAAAACGTTCGGAAAATAGTAGTAATATCTACATTATGCTTTCACATGTTTGAATCAACAAACAGAAAAGGCCATGATACCATGAGAAAGTTATTTTTTCATTAACCCCAGCATAAAGTTCTATACAAAACTGAATCTAGAATTTGATTCACAAAAGTGAAAAAAAAAAACATCTGCAAGCAACCCAAATTCAGTTACTCATTCAACAAACTAATCCCTACCCATTTCACAATCAGCCTGCTATTTGCAAAATAATTAACCAAGTGAACCATAAACAGAAGTTGCAAGCAAAAATAACTCAAATTGACCGCTAACTTCAACCAAAAAATAGAAAAATCCCATCTTTTTTCTCCTTAATTCAATTCTTAAACACCCCGAAATCCAATCTTTATCCTCAAACTCACAAAGCTTCACACTTTCCTAAACAAAACCAAAAACAACAACAACCCAGAATTTAAAACTTGAATTTAGCTTACATTACTGCCTTTCCATGCCTGGTAAGTCATTAGACCCTCCCCATCGTCACCATCAACAGCGGAGTCTACCGTAACTCCGCCAGCCGGATCCGGAGGAGGTGGGACCACATACATGTCTCTCATTCGCCAGCCGGATCCGGAGGAGGTGGGACCATATACATGTCTCTCATTCTCCTCTGTTCTCTCTGTCAGGTCAATTCTGTACAGCTGCAAAACTTCGCAAAACAAAAATGAAGAGGAAAGAAAGAAAAGCTAATAAAGGCGGCTCTTATAATATTACTGTAAAATAAAAAGAAGGGACTATTTGACTTTTTCTTCATTTTTATTCAAAAGACAAACGGGGTTGATGGGGCCAGGATCATGTTATGATATTATGATTTATGAGGTGGCTAACCACTACAGACTACGGCGTTTATGGGCCGTTAACCGTCGCGCTCTAGCTGGTCAGCTAAGTAAATATAATAGTGTAGGCAAGCTATTCAGACATTACATTAATGGAAAAAAAATACATATATATATATAACAGAGTACAAAATATTCTACAATACAATCATTTAAAGTTTATTAATACAATGTTTCCCTTTCTTTTCCTCTGTTCTTGGTTGAATTATGTTAATAGGGAAGTTAATTATCTTCTTTTCTAGGTGATTCAATAGCCAATAAATCATTGAATAAATCGTACTACAAAGGAATCTTTGAAAATTTAAAATTATCAGTCTCTTTCTGCGTCAGGTGTGTGCGCCCTAGGATGGTTTGTTTTCAATTACTTTTTTATCTTTTTAATGATTGTGAGGGGGAACATGGTATTGTTAAGCCTACTAAAATACCACTAGATAGATGATCAAGTTAATTGGTGTGGAAAATTGCATTATTGTCATTAAACTTGATTTGACTAATAGGAGTCAAAAAAGATATATATATATATAGATTAAGAGGAGTTGAAGCATTTTTTAGAAGATTTACTATTGATAGTTAAGATTCCTCTTGTTAGTATTTCAAGATCAAAATAATAGACATATAAAAAATAAATAAATAAATACGTAACGATATTATCATGTTTAGTTGAAGGTATAAAAATAAATATATTTAAAAAATATATATAATGAGTAACTATATTTTCTAAACTAAAATTATATGGAGATATTTTATTAATTTCTCGTTATGATAAATTAAATCTTATAATAGCCGGTTGCCAGAAATCATGGAGCCAGAGATTTAAGTTTTGAGTTTTGAGTTTCGCTACATATTCATTAATAATTTGGTACGATAAAAATATTTTCATACACATAACTTGATAAGTCATTATCGTGATTTGTCACATAAAAATTATCAATCTTGAATTCCAAGCTTTTATATCCAATTAAATTGCAAGTTTTCAACAATATCTTGATTTAAAAACATAATTCAAGAATAGATCATGATGGTAATTGAATTTTTTTAAAAAAAAATTGAAAATCATCTCACAATTACAAAATTTAAACAATATTAATATAAAAGGTGAAATTTCCATGAACTCCACTCCCTGTTTGTGACATGGTTGGTGTGCTTTTGAGCAAAATAGAAAGGTGGTGTAGCTTCAATGTGCGATATTGGACTGAAAATATTTTCAAAATCCCCAAGTTATTATCACCTCCAATCACGGAAATAGAATAAATCAATCATTATTTTTAGGGTTTTTAAAAGGGAGTTACAGTAGAGATAAGTGTCCTTTGATTGTGCGTTTATGTTGAAAAATCAATTTAGATTCTGCGTTTTTATTTTAGTCAATTACATTGGATATGAACAAAATGTGATCTATGATGCGATTACTTGTTACGGCTTCTCAAAGAGCCTCTGCCCAAGGCTTTCCACTGAAATAGATTTGACCATATTTTTGCTAAATATGATGCCATTATCTGGGACAAAACACAAGAGTACAAATTGACTTCACAACGCAGGCATACGAGTTAAAGTGATGTTTTTCTTCTTCTTATAATTACTAGGTAATTATCAAACATAAATAAAAATATCAATATAATTTTTTTATTAATAAATTATAGTAAACTTTACTAATAAACTATTTTTTTATTATATCTATTAATAACTACCAATAAAAATATTCTCTCAATATATATATCATAGATATTACAATGAAAATAAAAAAAATAAAAAATATAATAATATATTACTTGTACATATATAATTATCAATGGATTAATTCTGCTGATGAATTCTATCAATAAATCTATTTATATTATTTAATATATAACTTGACGAGTAATCTTCCTTTTTTTTCCTTTTTCCTTTTTTCTTTCTTATTTTTCTACTCAACAAATAACATCCCCTCTAAGTTTGTGAGGATGAAATTTTCTAATTCAAATATACAAAATTATTATTTTTTTAACTTAAATTTAAAATATTATTTTTATTACATATTTTCAATTTATAATACATGTATTTTATTTTGATATGTGTTTGTTTTATAGTTTTTTTTTATAGAAATTTATTGTATGATTTATCTATATTAGAGTTTATTTGAGATTTTATAAAATTATATTTATTTATAAATTGATAAATTTTATTTTGAACTTGTGACTTAAGTATTTTATAATATAATAAATAATAGTTTATTTAACAAGTCTGTGTTTTATAATTTATCAATTTTATTACCAACAAACCATAAATTATCGATGAGATTTTTTCTGGAAAATTATTTTTGTCTAAAATTCATATTAGTGAATTTAGAGTATAAATATCAATAAAAAATTCTGACGGTAAAATTAATATAAGAATTATGGTAATGTATAAATCTTATTTTTTTAATTGTTAATCATAACTCATATTTATATACTTGTAAGATATGTGGGATATTAATTAATATAGGTCTTTAATATAAGGTAAAAGCACAATCATCTAATCTAATCTGATTTAATTTGGTGGATTGATATAACTAGAATGATCCTTGTAAAATCTAGTCAAATATTAAAAGAAGGGAATAGCTCTTTTTTATCATTCTTATCTTTTTTTTTAAAAAAAAAATTACCATTCACATCTAAATCCCCAATGTATTTCCCTTCATTTTTTGGGTATAATTTCTTAACTTAAAAGCACAACAAGAGATTTCCCCCCTCCTCTGCTCCTATTTCTTAAAAAAAATTATGATGATAATTAGTAGTGTTTTATTAGCTATTCCCTGAACTCATCTTAAAAAATCAAATATAAAAAAGAGAGAGAAAATAAAGCTAATAATACATAGAAAATAATAAGAACATTTTTATTTGAAATTTCTCTTTTATTTATATTTATTTTTTAAAAAGTAACTAATTATTATTCCAAACACCATCAAAGAACATTTTATTGTTCGTACCCATTTTTTCTTCCAGCAAAGGGTTAAAATAATTGGCAGGGTTAAAATCATGTGATGCCTATGCAACTACGCATGCAAAAACGCCTAATCTCCCCACGAATCTCTTACAACACCATCCAAGAAACTGTTAGTTATTAGTGCAATATAATATATAATATGATATTTATTTGATCATTTATTATTCCATGAGCATATATTCTTTATTCAGACAAAGCACTGTCATCATGGCTTTTCTTTGCAAGCACAAGACTTCGGATTCCCTCCTGTGTTCTCTCCTAACTCTTCTTTATTGTTCGATTTGCTGGCTTGGCATGTTCTTATTGGCCTTCTCTGCTGTAGTTTTATCATACAAAATGTAGTAATTTTGTTAATTAATTACTTTGGACCCTTTCTCTGATTCCAGGTCGGTGGAGATTTGAACTTTCACAGGTACTCACGCATAAAGAAGTGTAAAGGGTAAAGGGAAAAGGGAGCTAGCTAGGTTTAATGCGGGCGGTGGTTTGGCAATCCCTTATTCCTTTGAAAACACCATCGTGATGGGAGATCTCTAAAAGCTTGAAAAGGGTAAAGCAATAGCACGGTAGAGACTAGATAGCATGTGGAGGCTAAATAAATTAATTTGTTCTCAAATATCAATAATGGGACTTCCTATTTATCTTTTATTTTATTTTATTAACATGGTTTCTAAATTAATTTACATATATTTGAACGAATGTTATCTATCATAAAATTAATAATTATGTAAAATTATAATAATTTTAAAAGAACTCAAACTTATAATTATTTAAAATCAAATTTAAAACTCGGTTAATTAAACTTTTCTAAATATTTTTTAAAACATGATTATTAAAATATAAAACTAATATATCAAGTTAATTTTTGAAATTAAGAAATGAAATGATTATGTGGTGATTGAAAATTTTATTCACTAATATCTCAAAGATAATGTATTAATTGATATTATTATTTATTTATTAATGTTTGAAGAACGTTAGACCATATCATTCTGAATTAATTAATAATTAATAAAAATAATTAATTCACTGAATATTAACAATTTATATTATCCGATAATCAATATGAAAAAACAAGATTTAATTTGAGATAATTCCATCAGTCAATAGAAATAATAAATACAAAGATACTTTTTTTTTTATCTGTATGTATTCTTCAAATCTCTCTCTTCAACAATAATATATCCATAATATACTAATTAAAATATTTTTTATAATGACCCAATACCCATATACAATATATGGTTACGTTTAACAATTTCACATCATCGAACCCAAAACTAATACACACAATCTACATGATTTTATATCTAAAAACCAATCAAAACTAATAATTTTCACTCCTATCGTCAATAAAATTTCACAACCAATCACACATCCTTCATCCCGTTCTTTCAAATCATTTATAAAAATCCTCTCTTTAAAACGACATTGTGTTCCCTCTACTTCTTTTTTTGCAATTATTATTTTTAGATTTATTATTTTTTCCAATTACATTATAATTACTAAACAACTTTTTCTTGTTTCATTGATTTTTTTTAGATTTTTTTGAAAAAATTTATAAATATAAAATGATTAAAAATTGTAAAATAACCAGAAAATGACCAAATCTAATGAGCTTACAAAATGTGAAGAAATATGCAAAAATCTTGGAAAATGTGCATTTCAAGATGTTTCATAATTTGTTGCTTATTTTCTCACGTTCTGCTCTGCAAATTTGCTTCTGAAAAATTTTAGGCCGGCTGAAACTGGAAGAAAATATTCAAATCTGACTTCAAAATTTTATGGGTAATTTGATAAGTCCTCCTTCCCTAATTTCACAAGAGAGGAAGGCTACTGTCACGGGGAAAGAAGGCTACGGGATGAGAAAAATTCAATCGAGGTTGCGAATATTTATGATTTGGAACTGCTGGAGGTTTT